TAAATCAATCAGTACAACAAAGAAAACTAACTTCATCAAATGATTTAATGGTGCCTTAGCTTTTTGCTCTTATATTGTCTGACAAAATTCACATCTAATGTACACTTGGCTCATAAAAAACCTTCCTCTACTAAACAAGTGTAAAGTAAAGCATCCCTACTCTCATAAAAAAGAAAAAAAAATCTACCTTTAAAATTAGTTATGCTGTAAACAGCCTGTACTTCAATAGCACTTTCAATCTGAAGCTCGTGTGAAGTGAGAAGCTCATTCAGGAGTCATTTTAACCACTCAAAGCAGACCAGAAAATACTGTTTTTCCAGTAAACACCATGTTTCAGTGCTGTTTACCCTGATTCTCCATTACTGCACAGCACTTTTCACCTTATTTCTGTGCTAGTGTTGGAACCTTGTGCAGAAGAATCTCAAGTGCTAAAGTCCATCTTTCTCAGTCTTACAAGTCCAACTCTGCTATCCTCACAGCCCACATGGCCTGTGGCTGTAATGACACACATCATCAGCCCCTCGACAGCGATCACACCAAATACTACATCACAAAAGACAGCCTCACCAAACACATTAAGCACCCTTCAAAACCCAGGGAAGCCTTGCAAACAAAATCTCCCATCTGAGCTATTGTCTGTAATCAGCCTTTGGTCAGTGCACCAATGGGTGGACTAGGCTCTATTTAGCAGGTTGCTAGCATGAATTATCATGTTGCTAGCATGTTTCTAGATTAAATTAGTAGGTTGTAAGCATGAATTTTAGCATGTTTTTTTTTATCATTAATCGACATAACTAATTAGCATGCTGCTATCTAACAGGAATATGCATGCTGCTAGCATGTTGCTTGCATGATATAGCAAGTTTCTAAAAATAATTGCCATACTGCTAACATGTTTCTTGCATAAATTAGCATGTTTCTTCCATGAAATAGCATCATGTCACTGTATTCAGCATGGATTTGCATTTAGGATTTATTAGCATGTTGTTAGCATGAATTAACATGTTTCAAGCATTAATAGCTTTTTATAGCATGAATTGTCATATGTTTTTGTGAGGATTAATATTTTGTTAGCATGTTTGGTGTAATGTGTCTGTACCACAAATTAGTATGTTGCTAACAATAATTTGCATTTCGGTCAGTAGGACTTGGCTTGATTTTAGCATGAATAATTTGTCTAACATGTTTCTAGCATGAATTAGCATGTTGTAAGCATCAATAGTTTGATTTAAACAAACATTAGCATGTTTTTAGCAAGAATTTACATGTTTTAGGATGCCTCTGATATGAATTATCAGGTTGGTAGCATGAATATCAAATTACCATCTTGCTATCATGGGTTCAACATAAAATAGTAGCCTATTAGCATGAATAAACATGTTCATTGTTATGAATGCATAATGCTAGGATGTTTCAATTGGCATGCTAACATGTTTCCAACATGATTTACCATGTGATGCATTTCTAGTTTGAAATGACATGTTGCAACCATGTTCCTAGCATGAGTTGACATGATGTTGCAACTGTGAATGAATATGTTGTTAGCAAGCTACAAACATGATTTAGCATGTAACTAACATGTTATTGCCACACCACACAACACAGCCCTGCCCAACACATTAAACACCCTTCAGAAACCACGGAAGCATCACAAACAAAGTCACCCATCTATGCTAAGTAACTGGTTTCAAATCTAATCAGCTTTCGGTCAGTGCTCTGGTGTGTGGACTGGGCTCGCTCTTTTCACTCCATGGCCAGCATGCTGGAAATAGCCCATTGTCGGGTACTGGTGGAGGTGTACAGCCACGGGATGCCGGACTTTAATCAAACAGACAAGCGGGAGAGGCTGTGATGGCTCAGCTTGGGCTGAGTGACAGTTTGGCTGTTTCCCATTGTGCACATGTTTCCCTCAGCAGGTTTGATGAAGGCCTGACAATGTGGCAGGTAATATCCAACTGTAATCAACAATACCTTACACAAGTCCGCAATAACCCTGTTAAACGGGTGATTTAGAAAGACTAGCAACAGGCTCCTGCTCTGAATGCAGCTGCATTTCTGGTTTCAGCATAAAACAAAAGTATAGACTGAAAGAAATATATATATTTTGAAATTGTTTCTCAATTCTTTCTAAATCTCACAATTAAAAGAAACTGTTTAAAAGTGAAATTTTGAAGTAAAGCGAAGCTAAACTCTTTGTCCAGCTGGAATATTTAGCCTGACAGGTCAGTGGCTCCCGCACAGACTCCTATATAAACTCGAAAAACTGTTCCCGCTGGTGCTGGAGTGAAATGCCTCAGACTTAATGCCAAGGACTTTTAACTAAATGTCTGATGCATGTACAGCAAACTATTCTGGAAACACTTCCACAGTCATTCACTTACTGGATGAATCTGACCTAAATTCTAAGAGATGTACCAGTTATTTAACAGTCAAATGAAGAAAGCTGTCACGTTTACATCAGTAACGATAAAAACTCTTCAAGACTTCATGCCAGAATCTTAGTATTGGAGGCTCATAAACTTTTTAAGAGTTTAGCTTGAGGCACATTAAGAGAAATGTAAAAGACATGTTTCTAAAAGAGACAGGTTTCCCTCAGCATGTTTGCTGAAGGCCTGACAATGTGGCAGGTAATATCCAACTGTAATCAACAATAACCTTAAACAAGTCTACAATAATCCTGTTAAATGGTTGATTTAGATCAGAGATATCCAAACTTTTTTCTTATAATGAGCCAAAAATTAACCTTGATTGAGGGCTATGGGCTGAATATATCCCAAACTGAATATACATTTATTCCAAACCATATTACATTAGATTTACTATGGGCAATTTTCTAATTTGTTTGCTAGTTTAATTCTGAATACACTAGACGAGCCTTTGCCTAAATTTGCTGCCAATCACTTGAGCATTGTCCTCTGTCCTTTACCTGTGAAGTGACAGTATTTACATTTTAAACGTCTGATGTATTAAAATATTTAAATTCTGTTGAATTTTTTGTAGCTCAGCAATAAAACAAAGAACCAAAATGTTACGTTAAATTTGAAATGACGATATCTGTTAAAGGTATTTGCATAAAAGTGTACACTATTACATAATTACTTTAAAATCTCACAGTTAAAAAGAAATATTAGATTAAAAGTGAAATTGTTAAATAAAACAACTAAATGCTTTGTTAAACTGTTTTATTTAGTGTAGAAATATTTAATTATAGTTTTTATTGATATTTCCTATTTCACTATAAGCTTTTGTATTTTTGTCAATTTTATTAGGTTTTTATTTTATTTTACAATTAGTCAAATTAATTGTGATTAAGTGTTATTATTATTATTATTATTATTACTTTTACTATTATTATTATTATTATTACTGTTTCTATTATGTTCATTCTTATGTTTTTTCAAGTGTTTTTTTTCACTTTAGTTTAGCTAGAAAGAATCACAAAACAACAATGTTTAACAAAATCTTTATATTTAAATTTTTTTCTTTTAAGTTTCTTATTAAATAAATTAAGCAAAATGCATCAATCTCCACAAAATATTAATGAGCAAAAGCTGCTGAAATTCGCCGTCAGGAATAAAGAATATTTTAAAACGCAATAATCACAGAAAACAGATAAGCATTAATAATCTGTGTCTTTCAACACAATAACGCATGCAAATAACCTTAGAAGTGTGAAATGGGATGCTCTCAATTAATAAAAGGAGATTGTTTCTGTAAGGCTTAACTCTGATAAATGGAAATTGAAAATCAACAGGCAATTAATGAAGCTATTAAACCCAACACACTGGCGAGTTTAAAAGCACTGCTCTTTAAAAGCCCCAGCCGCATCAGTATTTTTGTTTTTAATCAAAGACTGCTATTTTGACCTAAGACTGACTGAGAGTATTTTCAGCACAAAGATGTATTATGGAAAAAGTAGCATGTTAAATACAAAAATAGCAACAGTAATAACAATAACAGTCCTGTATGGTATATGGATGAAAATAAAATGAAATTGTTAAAGCATCTCTTTGATGTCTAACTGTGGTGTGAGAATGAGTCTCCATTTCAAAGTGTGATGTTCCTTCAAAGGATGAGCTGAAGTCTCTAGACTTAAGGGGCTGAATGCAGGGATCAGCAAAGAAAGCATGCATAGGAAACAAATGTGCTTCCCTGGGCGCTTTCTATATGTGAAAACTAAAATGAGAATCATACAGCATTTGCCTGTTTGCCATGAAGTTGTGTTTATACACCCAGGTCTCATGGGTTTTTACCTAATTCTGATAACAGTGAAGCTACTGATGTTCGGACTTTGATGTTTGTTAGTAAGTTTTCTCTCAGTGTTAGAAGTTATCAAGTTGAACGTAATGTGTCCTTTCCACATATAATGCTTTAAAATAAGAGTTAAACAGAAAAACATAGATAAGTAAAGTTTGCTGACAAACTTTGAAGTTGTTTGTAGAAATTACTCTGATTTAGCAAAAATTAACAGATTGCTAGCATGTTTTCAGCATATTAATGTATTGTTTGCATGTTCTCTAACATTAATTATCATGTTGTTAACACATATAGCATGTTGCTAGCAAGTACCTACCATTAACATATTATAAACATGACCATAACATAACAAAAATTACCATGTTGTCAGAATGTTCAAGTGAATTAGCATGCAGCATAGCATTTTCCCAAGCAAAACAAGTCTGTTTGATGTATAAATTAGCTAGCGGCTAACAAAAATGTCCATGTTTTTAACATTGATTATGCTGGTAGCATCCCAACAAACACACAACGTTGCCTCAACGTAGCGACCTTCCTACAACGTTGTACCAACCTTGCAAAAAGGTTGAGGATTCTACGTTGTTGCTAAAGGTTGTCACAACGATGTCATAAGGTTGCCATTTAAACATCACGAGGGCCGCATACTTTAGGTTGTGCTTAGGTGGCGTGGACAACAACTGTACAACATTTACTGGTTACAGCTGAATCAGTTTAAATTTCAACAAGCCGTCGTCTCATTCATCAACGACCGAGGAGACGTGAGTATTGTTTTATTTCTTCTTGCTAAATAAGATACGTAAATCGTGAATATTCAAACAAACCTACGATTTCGACAACAATCTGTTCCAACATTACACACACACACAAAAGCCGTAATGAAGTTATTACGAGCGAGTAACATTTCAGCATTCCGTTCACGGACGGCGACAACATTAAAATCATTATGTTAAATCTCTCGATAAATTATTTCCTGATTATTTACCTACGCCTTGTCTTTAGTCAAATGGACAATAATGTTTTTAAAGTTAAGTTTTTTCCATATCCATTGTGATCAGTTAGTATGATACTTCATCACACGAGCCGACCCACTTTTTACAAAACACACAAAACAACTTTTAAAAACAAAACATCTCTGTGTAGATTGCGTCCCGTTAAAGAAACAGTTCACTCAAAAATGATATGTACTCACGAATTATTTGCTCTGTAAATAATAAGTGATTCCAAACCTTTAAGTTTCTTTTTTCTGTTGAACACTAAAGACTGTAAGCATTTGCTTTCATGGAAAACACTGTGGAATTAAATAGTTACAGTTTTCCATCTTTATTTAATATATATTCTTTATTGTTTAGCAGAAAAAAAGCTAAATAAGTTTGCAACAAATAAAGGATGAGGCTAAAATGGCAGAATTTAGAGCTATCCCTATAAGTTAAAGTATATAAATTAATGTTCATATGCCTAATTAATATAGATAGTAATTAAAAGGTCTGCTAGTCTAAATTTCTATTTTGATTGGTCTTTTGATGTTTTATTTAAAACCCACTCTTTTCTTTGCTCAACAGGCTATTTTCACATGGAGGTAATCTTCTATTGATAATTTCTGGATTTTAAGTATGTGTAAATTGCATGAAACTCAATTGTTTAATCACTCACTGTTGTTTTCAAATTACTCATGTAACTTGTCTTTCAGAATGTTTTCAGCTGTTGAATTCACCTCAGATCAGTGTTGCTGTAATTCATTTATGAAAAGAAGAATTGGATAAGGTAAGAAGTATACTACTCTATTTACTATTAAATGTAGTTATGTTACCTAAAACAGCATGTCCATAGTGTGGAAAATAGATCATGCTTATGAAAAATTACTTTATTATTTTGTACAACTGTTATTGAAATGACACTAAGTTTAACATTCCATTTACAGCGAGCAACGCCACAACTACAGGGCCTGTTCTTTCTCTTCTCATAATTTAAGTAAGTATTCGGAGACTAACTCTGACTTCTGTTAACTCAAACCTGTTTTCCCTGTATCTCTAAATTTATTTAATTGTATGTAATTTTGGTATATGATATATTATTAAAACATTGAAATAAAGTAGACTACATAATTGAGATTTTATATGTAATGAAATTACAATAAATGTCTGAAACTTCAATAACTTGCTAGTCATAGTCATTTCCTGTGTAGTGCTGTTGTGTCAAGCTCTGATCTGTCCTCTCTTGTTAACTGCCTATTTTGACTTTTGTCTGCTGTGGATCTCTGAAGCTGGATTATCCGTTGAATTTGTTTCTTCCTCTGACAGTTTTCTCCATAAAAACAACTACGACTGGTCTTCAGCTGCGCTCCCCGGTCTGCTGTATTCTCCAGTCCAGAGTTTCACTGCCCAGTGTCTGAATTTTAATTTATATATTTATTTAAAATTTAATGATTTCTTGTTTACTTTTCTTGTTTGTTTACCCTTTAGTTTAATTATATATATATATATATATATATATATATATATATATAATCTAAACTTTTTTTATACTGTTTGCTTATAATTAGATACTGTATGTGTACTGTATGTATTAAATGTTGTGAAATATATAATAAAAAGTTTGATTATATTCATTTGTGTGGCATTTTTACAATTTAAAGTTTACACATGCAGTTGTTAAATTAAATAGGAAAAATAAATGAACAATATTTCATATTAAGCAATACTGGAAAAGAATTGCTGCTTATCCTGTATTCTAGGCAGTATTGATAAACTGCCACAAAAAAATATTAATACAAGTAGTAAGAACGCCGCCTCGCGGTTGCTGAATGTCGCACGACAACGTTTGCTACAGCCTTCTCACGTCTTACATTTCTACGTTGTGACAATGTAGCGAGCACGTAAGCGGCAACGTTGCCTTTAAAAAAATACAACGTTGTGCAGACATCGCTACAACGTAAATGTGTTTGTTGGGATGACTTTACATCTTCTAGCATGAATTACTAAATTGTTGTCTTGTTTTAACATTAATTGGCTTGCTGCCAACTTGCTTGTTCTAACTATCATGTTGTAATCACATATAGCATATTGCTAGCAAGTTCCTACCGTTAACATTTTACAAATATGATCATAACTAATGAAAATGACCATGTTGCTAGGATATTCCTTAAGCAGCATCGACTAGCATTTTCCCAAGCAAAACGAGTCTGTTTGACATATAAATTAGTTTTATTATTGATTATGTTGCTAGCATTAGTCAACAAGTTCTAGCATGAATTACTATATCGTTGTCTTGCTTTAACTTTAATTGGCTTGCTACTAACTTGATTGTACAAATTAATTTTCAAACTTTAATTATCATGTTGTAAACACATATAGCATGTTGCTAGCAAATTCCTACAGTTATCATGTTGCAAACATGGCCATAACCATAATGAAAATGACCATGTTGCTACAATGTTCCTTTAGTGAATCAGCATGTAGCATCAATTTACATTTTCCCAAGCAAAACGAGTCTGTTTGTAGTAGAAATTAGCATTACTGCTAACAAGAATTAGCATGTTAATATCAAATAACATCAAATATGTTGCTATCATGAGTTAACATGTTTTAGCATGAATTACTTTATCATTGTCTAGTTTTAACATTAATAAGCTTGCTGCTAACTTCCTTATAGTACAAATAATTTTTAACACTATCATGTTGTTAACACATACAGCATTGGAAGCAAATTCCTACCTTTAAAATGTTACAAATATGACTATAACCGTAACAAAATTGACCATGTTGCTGGAATGTTCCTTGTGTGAATTAGCATGTAGCGTCAACTAGCATTTTCCAAGCAAAGCAAGTCTGCTAGTAGTATAAATTAGCAAGCTGTTAACAAGAATAAGCATGTTTTAAATCAATTATGTTGCTAGCATGAATTAACACGTTCTAGCATGAATTACTATACTGTTGTCTTGCTTTAACATTAATTGGCCAGCTGCCTACATGCTTGTACGAATTAGCATGCTGCTAATGTTTTCCAGCTGTAACCATAGCTGAAAGTATGTATTAATACATTCTTGTTTCAAGAATTACCATGTTTCTAGCATATTGCTAACATACATAGTACACACAGACAGCCTATTTCTAGCAAGGTGAGAAGGTGGGAATATTGCTACAATTAATTAGCATGTTGTTATGTTCAAGACTTATTGGTAGGTTTCTAGTTATAGTTAGTTTGATGAAGGTTTTGAATTGTAGAATATTTTCCATAGTTTCTGTTTTGCAAAAAAATAATACACATACATAATTTACATACAAATAACAAAATTATTTAAATTGTATTGTTTAGTTTTGGTTCGCTAATAGCCATGGCAGTAGTTCCTGTTTCAACTTTAGTATCATATCAGAGAGTGGCTCATGTTCTCACCAGTAATAGCCAAATTGCATCACCGCACATTTGAATAAAGTTACACTCAATATTGTGCATATGTTGCCTCATTTAACCAGCTCTCAGATAAAATGAATGCCGTCCGATCACATCAAATCGCTGTCAGTGTAGATGCTCCTTCACTTCAAAGCTGATCAAAATCAATTATACATATTACACACACTCCACCAAGCAGACCTCAAATTATCTGCAAACTCTGCTCTTTATAATGAAAGTGAAAGTTGTGACATGTGGCCAAGTGTGGTGTCACATTCTCTGAATTTGTGCTCTGCATTTGACCATCTAACTGCACACATACGCACACTAACTCACACAGAACCTGTGAACACAGCAGTGAGCAGCCACGTTTGTTGTGGTGCCCAGGGAGCGGTTGGGCGGTTGTTGCCTTTCTTAATAGTTTCGCCTCAGTTGTGAAGAGCAGAAGAGAGCATTGTACTTTCACTTTAACCCCTTACAATTCCTGCCACTACTGAGACTCAAACCTGCAAGCTTTGGATTACAAGTAAAGTTTCTAATCATATAATCCGAGTTGAGTGTTTCACAAAATATTAATTTCCGGATTATAGGAAGTAATGGACTTGTACTGTTTTCTTGGACATATTTCATGCTTCAAATCCATCCAAAAAGAAACACCCACTCCATTTTAGTGTTATTACCACAACACAAAAGTCCCAGTTGGCGAGTCAAAGAGAGGTCAAGAGTTGTACTCACCAGCAAGGCTGCCCGGTCTCTGTAAAGTGGCAGTTGCGTAGAGTTCGTGGGATATCTTGTACTGCTCAGATGAATGCACCAGCCTTTTGGTGGGTGAAAGCGTGGCGTATGAAGCCACTCCTGTGGTCTGCAGCTGCTGATAGATTGGCGATGCGTTATTGGGCGGAGAAGCTAACCGGTGAGGAGAGCCTGAAGCGTGAGTAGCGGGCGATCCTCCGATGCCCACCGCATTGATTGGTGAGCTGCTGCTGTAGGATTTGGCGAGCCGACCGGGAGAAGGTTTGGGGGAGGCTGAGGAGGATGAGGAGGGCAGGCGCTGGGTGGTTGCGTAGCCAGGTGTATCGCTCGCTGAACCCAGACGCTGCAGTTTGGTTGGGGATCCGCTGGCCGCTGTGGACTGCATTGAGTTCAGGGGCGAGCTGATGCGCTGGGCAGGCAGAGTAGAGCTGGAGTAGTACAGGCCCGGGCCGGATGCTGCAGACGAATGCTGGGAGTCGGACAGGCCAGCGCCATGGCTCTGAGAGGAGTCGCCCGCAGCTAACTGGGCTGCACGGTTAGATGTCACCTGTAAGGAGAGTGAGATATATGAGATAAACAATCATTAAACTTGAAGCTTGAGTTAATACAGAAGATGTATGGAGTAATTTCACTTATAATCTGAAATAAGAATGAGCTTTATTGGCAAGTGGGTTTTTCACAGACAAGGAATTTGTCTTAGGGTGGTTTCCCATCTGTGGTTTGGTTTATTTGGTCCGGACCAAGGGAAACAAATGATACATTAAAGCATTTTTCAGCTGTTTTTTGGGTCCTTTTCACACCACACCGATTGCTTTGGTCCGAACCAGTTGAAAAGAACCAAAATGCAGTCATGTGACAAAATCCACATCACTCATTGGCCAGAGGTTGTTGAACGTATTTCCTAAACTGTTTTTTGATTGGTCAGAAGTAAAGTGTGGGAAAATGCCAATGAAACTCCAGCAAATAAACAAACCGGCTGACACAAAATGCTACTTTTACTATGGAGGGACGACTGCGCTGGCTGATTGTATCCCTGGTCATAGTACACTATATAGCTTGTATACATCCTTTTAGACAAACTATACATTTCGAGTATGAAGTGCGGCTGCAGATGGAAAGCAATGTTTAAGTGTGTTGTAAACGTCGAAGGCGCATCGCAATTCACTTGAGGAGGAGGCGTGAATTAATTTAGCTAAACTGTGACATGGTCATCTTCTGGAAATATTACCAATGATCCATCACTCTTTTTTACCATTTCTCTCCCTCTCCCTGTTTAAAATTGTTGATAAAGTGCTGTCAACAAATATTTTTGTTGCGCATCAGACTACGTCAGCTGGATTAGCCCAGAATGGCGCATTACTTTTTGAGGTTTGGGTCTGTTTAGTTCAAATGATATTTTCACCACAAACTTATCACTGCAGGGTTCGTTTGAAAGCGTACCAAGACCACCTCTTAAAGGAGGTCTCGGTAAGCTTTTTTGGTATGCTTTTGGTGTGCACTCGTGTGCGAATGCTACATTCACACCTGCTCAAATGAACCACACCTAGAGCGAAAACGAATTCTAGTGCGATTCAACTGAACTAAATAAGGCAGGTGTGAAAACACCCTTAATGATAGGACCTTTCAGAACAGACAGTACAATAGACAAACATAGCGCAGATTAGAATAAAATTAAAATATGTACACAGAGTCGGAAATAAATATTGAATACCATTTTTCTCAGAAAACATAATTATAAAGGTGTTGTTGACTTGAAATTGTTATCGTATGTTGGTAACAACCAAATAAATTCAATATGCAGAGAAAACATAACTAACTTAGTATACAAATTGAGTTATGTGTAATAAAATGAAATCACTCAGGGGAAAAGTATTGAACACATAAAGAAAGGGAGGTGTAGAAAAGCTGTGAAAGCCCAGACCGCAGCTGAAATATCTCAGTAGTTATTCAGCAACCCTCTGCCCTTTGTCATTGTAAATGAATATTAGCTGCTTTCGTCCAACATCCACATTATCGATATGATGAATATGAAACCAGGGTGGACATTTTAGCAAGACAATGATCCAAAACACAGCCACCCGACACCAAAAAAACATTTTATTTAAAGCACTAAATACATCTCAGTAGTTCAGTGCTTTCTCCTTGTGTCATTCAATAGTCTACACCTAACTCATTTTTCAGATTTTTTTTGTTTTGTTTTAGTTTTATGTTTGTCTGTTTTGGGTTTTTACTTAAATCTCAAATTCCATGTCAAAAGCTTCTTTAGAAATATTATTCCCAGGTAAAAACGTTCAATGTTTAAAATTTATTTCCCATATCGGAAATAACACTAGTATTAATGACTAGAGAAAGATTAATTGTCCTGTATACAGAGCGCAATGTGCATATGTGGTATTTAAAGGTGGTTCAGGTGGGAAATGACCTGGGGGAAAAACTGTTCTTGTGTCTGTCTGGTGCACAGTGCTCTGTAGTGATGGCCAGAAGGCAACAGTTCAAAGAGAGAGTGGGCAGGGTTTCAGGGCTCCAGAGTGATTTTCTAACCCCTTTTTTACTCTGAACATGTAAAGTCCTATGTAAAATCCTACCGATTGTCATACAGGATACAAAATACCCCCAAACATTCTTCAAAATATCAATTTCATTAAGAATTAATGTCCGTTCAAGATCTGAAGGACATGAAGGTAACTGAATGACCATAAAAATTTAATTCCTGGATGAATTATCTTGATTAATGGATATTCAGATAGTAATATATGGGACAAGGTCATAAATCCTGATCTGAAATCCTTTAAATGCATAATAATTCCCTGGAGAAACAGACGCAAGATGTTTCCGGAACCAATAAAAAAGCATGTAAATGGAAGTTATTGCATAAACATACAGTACATATGCCGCAAATCCTCACGGGATCACCACCCTCATGTCAATGAATGTTGTATCGTCCATAATTCAGAAGGGCAGGCGTTCACAGTCACACACATCCTAATTAATGCTGGCACAGTTCCCGTCATTTAGAAAGACGCTTTGGCATGTGAATAAACATTTCTTCCTTTAGATTCCTCATAATCACCATGATGATTGTGGGTGATTACAATGAAACATTGGTTCCACTGTTTCTCATTTACTGAAAGCATGAAACCTGATTATTCTTATTCAGAATAAATTAGGTTATTTTTAACTGCCAGTCGGTGCAATTTCCAGTGGGGGAAAAAAGAGAAGCTTAGCTGCTTTTTTTCCCTTCATTGCATTGATATCAGGTAATAATATTCAAATAGTCTGGAAAGTTGAATAAATATGAGCCCAAGGTCTTGCAGATGGAGAAAATGATTGTGCTGGATAAGTGTGTGACATTTAAAGCTAAACTCAGCACTGTCTGACTGTTCTTAAAGATTCTGCACCACCTACGAACAATCTCTTTTTCAAGAACAGTTTTTCCACGGTTGAGAGTTCTCAGCTGGCCATAGGCAAAATACAGAACATTAGGGACACTTTTACTATTGAGATGAAAGGGACTTCAATTTTCCTGAATTGGCCTAAAATTTTTGGTGATCCCGATATTTCCATGTAGAGCAACATTTAGACAAAATGATTGAAAAAAAGGTTTAACTAAACCAAACCTAACATAGCAAGAGCAAATATGTAAAATAAAAAATAAATAAAATAACACGGCGGGATGGTGGCTAAGTGGTTAGCATGATTGAGCAAGAAGGTCACAGGCTCGGGTCTTGAGTTTGTGAAATACATGCTTCAGTCATTTATGTATTTTTTTAATTGCATCTAGTTTAAATAAACATATTTAAGTTGTAAAGGGGGCAATGCGGTGGCACAGTAGGTAGTGCTGTCGCCTCACAGCAAAAAGATTGCTGGTTCGAGCCTCGGCTGGGTCAGTTGGCATTTCTGTGTTGAGTTTGCATGTTCTCAACGTGCTCGCATGGGTTTCCTCTGGATGCTCCAGTTTGCCCCACAGTCCAAAGACATGCACTCTAGATGAATTGGATAAACTAAATTGGCCGTAGTGTATGTGTGTGTAAATGAGTGTGTATGGGTTGGCAGTTCATTCCGCTGTGGCGATGATGAACAAAAGGGACTAAGCTGAAGGAAAATTGATGAATGAGGTGTTTTGAGAGATATAGTAATTTGACCAACAATATCCTCTGATTAGCTATTTCAGACATTACTGTTGGTCAAACTATACCAACTGTGTCTAATTCGACTTTAATTGCAGGCTATATGTAGATACAAACACCTATTCTAGGGGAAAATAGACTTGTGAACACTTAGGATGTTTACCTGCCCGTTTCAGACTGTTGAATGATTTTTTTCTTGCATAGACTGATGTGATCATGCATTCACAAGTGTATGAACCATTATGTATAGGGATGGTCAAATGTATATTTATATTTTATATTTTTATTATTATTATTATTATTATAAATAATATTATTATTATCAAGCATTAATTAAAGGTCAATTTTCCCAGCCCCCCTGTAATTCACACTGTAATTCACATGAGACCTATCTGTATGGAGTTTGGATGTTCTCCCTGTATCTTTGTGGGTTTCCTCCAGGTGTTCGGCTTTCCCCCACAATCCAAAGATATGCTATATAGGTTAATTGGATGAACTAAATTGGCTACAGTGTGTTAATGTGAATGGGTTTTGTGGCAGAAAGGGCATCAACAGCAAAACATATGCCAGTAGTTTATCCCACTGTGGTGACCCCTGGTAAAAGCAGGGAAAAAGCTGAAAAAAGTGAGTGAGTGAGTGAGTGAGTGAGTGAGTGAGTGAGTGAGTGAGTGAGTGAGTGAGTGAGTGAGTGAGTGAGCGAGTAAGCGAGTGAGAAAATAAAATAACAATTCAGTCAGCGAATAAAATTAAGAAAATGGCCAGATTGTTGAAGTGTGTAAAATAGGAATAATTAAATGAATTAATGAATAAACAAATAAATAAAACTAAATGAATTGCTTTGTTTTACTAATACTTTAAATGCCTCATAGAATGAGTAAATGAGTAAATGAATGAATGAATGAATGAATAAATGAATGAACCAGAGAACAAACAAACTAACAAACGAACGAATGAAGGAAGGAGCAAATGAGCAAACCAACACACGAGCGAATGAATGAACAAGCAAACGGACGTACGTACGCACGTACAGATTGACAGAAGGACAAAAAAACGGATGAACGAATAAACAAACAAACGGACGAACAAACAAACAAACTAACAAATTTTTTTGTAATGAACAAACGAATGAATGAACAAACTGAAAAAACCAAACATATAATCGAACCAATAAACAAACTTTTTTTTTTGTAAAATAACACAATCAAACAACAATATTATAGTTCATTTATTTTTCTGGGACACTTTATTAACAATATAATAGATCAAAATTAATAATTTTTTTTGAATTAATAAATTCCGAGGGGAACCATCATTAAAAAGTTCTCCTGTGCCAAATCTCAAACCACTTTGCTTGTAACGATCTTTTATTTTCAGGAATATGCTGATTCCTGATAAGAGTTTAATAAATCAAATGGAAGAGACGAACAAATCCTCTCAAGTTTAAAAAGATTGGATTGTGAAGATTTAAATAAAGGCATTTAAATAGCTCAATATCATGTTATACCGAGGTGCAATTATACCATCATTCTTCTGCCAAAACCTTTATCTTTCCATCTTTTCTCACTAAAACGAAGAATAGCATCCTGGCACACAGAGAGAAGAGGAAGCCCTACTTGAAGAGACTGCTACTGGTTCCTGATGTGGATGAATTATTTAGAGTACAAGAGGTTTATGGCGTTAAAAATATCTACATAAAAGCACCTAACTGATGCGTTGTGTTATATAAACCCATCCCGGAGCAGACAAGTCCTCTTCAGATTACCCTCAACAGAATCAACCCAACAGTCCACGCAATAACACAAGAGAAAGAAAGGATGCTGGAATAACAGTAAAAACATTAGAAACTTACAGAAGCTTAACTGATAAAAACGTGACAGTACAAGTGAGTGTTTAAATGCTTCTAGGTGTTTTTAAAAAGAAACCAGAAGAGTATTGAATGTTTCTATTTATAACATCTATTGGAGTGTTAGGATTGTAGCCAATCACATCATGGTTGTTGAGCATGTGAATACAAAGGCCAATTAGAAGTGGTTACAATTGTCAGGATGTGCTCTATTCACCTTATACTTCGTGTAGGAGCGGGCACAGCCATTTGAATCTATTTAACTTGAGACTTCTGCTCTCATTCACTTCCGTTCATTTTTAGATGTTAAAAACAGCATGTTACGCTGCTAGATGTTGCAAATGGATATTTTGTTATTATATTATTCAGCTTTGTCTGTCATGCAAACAATTGTTTGTAGAGCGAGTAGTTTGACCGTTTACTGCCATTTATTATTATTAAGCAATTCACCCATAGGCAACTAAATCGGAAGTTCACAAAATCACAAATACGAGCACACTTCCGCATTGAAGAATAAGCTCAATACTCTAGAGCAGTGTTTCTCATCCATGTTCCTGCAGGACCACCAACTGAATATTTCCCATGTCTCTTTAACAGAGCACTTGGCAGAGACTGAAGGACCTGTAATGAGTGTAACAGACATTCAAAACATGCAGAGTAGGTGGTCTTCCAGGAACATGGTTGAGAAACACTGCTCTAGAGTATGTTCAGCATGAGCGAGTCATTGCATTATAACAAAATAATTAGAAATATGATAAACTGGCATGCTAATAAAAAACTAAATCATTTTTTGCTTTTAAAAGATGTCTAAACATAGTCATCTTGGCTAAAACAAGGCTAAATTTGTCAGTGAACTTCTAATAAATGACTAAGAATAGGCCAAAACAAGACTAGTCATCAAATAAACAGAAATGAATGACTACACATACTGTATAAAGTCTGTCTAATCGGTCTATTTGACCACTAGTCTAGTTCTGGGCTATGTCTATTAGATTTTCACTGACAGCCCAAGTTTAGTCTTGTTTTAGCATAGCTGTCTACCGTTCAATGTCTATTAAACAAAAAATTGCTTGCTGGTGGTTCTTTCTAGCACATTAAATGTACAGTTATTGTTAAATTTTGCTGGTGAATTAAAATATATGTTTACATAGTAGTTTACAAAGCAGCCTTTAAGGGAAATAGATTCGTCTTTTATGCTCGAAAAAGCTATGCAGAGGTTTTACAAATATGGCTGCAGAATGATCAGACTTTCCTTGAGTGTTTTAACATCAACAAAGTATGAACACAATTTAAGTAGTAGATTTATCTTGCAATAAAACCAGATTTTTATTTCACTTATTAGTATAATGAAAGTTTGGTATGCATAATTATAATGAAAGCTCGGTGAGCATAATTATCCTCTCAAATGAAAAGTCTTTCATTACTTACTCCTACCCTTGTGTCATTCCAAACCATTATGACATTTGTTAATCTTCTGAACACACAAGGGAGGATACTTTTTAATCAAATCAGACATTTCTGTCCTTCATCTAAAAGCTGTTCATGCAAAACTCTTCAATGAGATTCAAAAATAAATTTATAATGGACCGAATGATTTAAAGTCTTCTTAAGAGAAACAATTGTTTTATATGATGAACAGACTTATTTAGTCATTCATTTTCCTTTGGCTTTGTCTCTATTGCAGAGGTTGCCACAACGGAATGAACCGCCAACTATTCCAGTATATGATTTACGCAGTCCTTCCAGCTGCAACCAAGTATTGGGAAACACCTATACACACTTATTCACAAATTATGGACAATTTAGTTTATTCAATTCACTTACAGCCGATGTCTGGACTGTGGGGGAAATTAAAGCACCCAGAGGAAACCCACGTGAACATGGGGAGAACGTGCAAGTTTCACAAACAAACGCCTACTGGCCCAGTCGGGACTCGAACCAGCAACCTTCTTGCTGTGAGGTGGCAGTGCTAACCACTGAGCCACCATGTCGCCCAACAGATTTATTTTAGGCTTTTATTCACATATAAACGTTGGAAAGCAAACAATGTTTACAGCACCCAAATTTGATCCTGGAAAGTCGAGCATGCTTGCTTGCTGCTTGAAAATCAATGCGATTCATTTGAACTTCTGCAAAAAAACAAAAAAAGAAGACATTTGTTTGCACGTCAAGCAGCTTTAGATGAGCTTCTATTTATGTTAAAAGTCTAACTTTGCGTTAACACCGAAGACAGTGAGAGCATCAAAGCTCGCTCTGGCCGCCCTAGCGACAACGCTGTGTGCCTTCACAGCTCCGGTGATGAGAGTATCAAAAATTTATATCGTATTTAAAGGAGTCGTTGCAGCATTATCAGCAAATCAGTTACATTTCCACATAAAACATGCATTATAGCTAGGGCCAGACAGAATCTGTGGACGTTTTTTGCTATTTCTGCTGAGAATTTTGATAAAAATCTGCGGATTTCTGTGGAATTATTTTGGGAGTATCTAGCGGAGTATCATAACTTACACTTTAATATATTAAATAAAAAGTAATAAATTACTGAATAAAAACTGAATAAATTCTGATTTACACATTTACTCAAGTAAATAAACAGAATTTATAATGGGCTAAAAAACTGCAGAAATCTGCGGAATTCTGCGGAAAATCTGCGGAAAATCTGCGGAATTCTGCGCGTGCAGATTCCGTGTGGGCCTAATTATAGCATGAAAATGCTGCACATTTTCTATCAAATTCATTTAACAATGGAAGATCAAGTTGTTGCGTGTGTGCTTTGCTCCACTTATCCAATATGTGTCCATATATCTGAAATTTTCTGAAGCAGTTTTGTACTGTCACATGAGATTCACTCTTTTTAAAAATAAATAAATAAATAAATAACATTAATGTACATCAATAACTCGCCAGTCTCTTTTTTCAATGCATGTCCTGCATTGAAATATTTGAAACCTTTGAAATAATCAAACCTTTGGGAACAAATGTTGTTGGAACCAAATTTCACAGGACTGTTTTCTCTGGACTGTTACATGGTCATAGCTCAGTACCATAAAGTTAACTTGATTTAATTTCTCCTTAATGCCCACACCAGCAAAGATGAATTGAAAATGAATGACTTCCGGCTACTTTGATGCTCTCGCCACTTTCAGTGTGAACGCACAGTTATAGATTTACATTTCAAGCATTACAGTTATTGGGTCGCAGACATTCTGTGGAAATCATAGATTTGCTTAAAATATTTGTAGTTGTGTTCTATTTGGGATTAAAACAACATGAATGTGAATAAATTATGACCTAATTTTCATTTTGGTCACACTAATTTGGTTACCACAGAACCATGAACTTGTCAAAATTCAATACTGAAATCTTGCTACTCTGAAAGCACTACCTGAAAACAACACATTTAATTCTTTCAGTATACAAAAAAAAAACCTTCCAAGCAAGAACAAAGTGTTTCTTTACTGAGAAACTGCCTTAATTTAAAACAAGAATGTTTTCAAAGAACCTCCACAGAAACCTCCCCCCTCGACTCTTTCAGAAACAACTACTGAGGGTCTCGAATGCTGGGTATCTTTCATTAAAAGACAGAGGGCCTATGTGTTCATTAAAAGTGTCAAAGGATGAGAGAGGGAAGAGAACGCAAGGGTGGGTGAGCGAGCCAGAGAGGATGTGCCAGTGTCAGCTTTATCGTGACCAACCGCTCAGCCATTTCATCTGTCATTTGCATGCACTAAACATCCGGTTAATTAGCGAGCACGGAAGAAAACTGAACATGGTCTGAACACAAACCGTACCTTTTTCTAAAAAAAAGGGGAACATTTCTAGCTCGTAGCAGGTGCGCAAGACTCATTTAAAAGAAATGAAAGTTGGGAGAAACCGCCCTGCAGGGTTTGCCTGTAATTACAGTCTCATCAACAGGGCACAATTTAACTCCCCGGATAATGACAAAGTTTGCTCAATGCAATGCAGTACCACTGGCGTCTGCTAACAAATGCTTGGGTCTTGCAGTTAATTGCTTTAATCAGGTCTCCAAATCACTTTTTAGGCAGCAGCTTGAAACATGATCCCAGCTGGAGCCCGGAAATCATTTTGTGCCAGTCCCAAAAAAAAAGAAAAAGAAAGCGCAAGCACAAGCAGAAGCCACTACATCCCGGATTTTTGGCGGAGAAAGAAATAGGACTGATACAGATACTGGGAGGAATAGAGGAAAGAAGAGCAGCTCTTACCTGGTTGTAGCTGTGCACGGCTCCTCCGGGCTGGCCGCTGGAGCGTGGAGGGGGCTGAGGCTTCTGGGATTGCGGTGCGGACAAGCAGTCGCTCAGGGCCAGGGTCTGATTACTGTGGTAGCTGGCGGAGTACTGGAGGGAGCCCTCTGGGTTCGAGCTGAGCTGCAGTGAGCTCTGAGAGAGCAGACTCGGTCCTGTGTGCAGAGCGAGAGCAAGAGCGAGAGGGAGACAGAGAGAAAGAGAGAGAGAGCAATTTCAGCAAGGCAGCGATGCAGCCCTCAGCCTAGCAGAAATGGCATACATAATTTATTAGAAGGGGAGGAGTGAAATAGAGAGAGGAGCAAAGAAGGAGCGAGCGAAAGACAGCGCGAGAGATGGGGATTAAAATGACAAGAGAAAACCCAAAAGCGAAAGAGCGCGCAGGAGAGAGAGACCAAGAAAAATGGAGTGTGTTAATGTTTGCGTGTGTGTCAGCAAACAACTGAAGAAGACTGGGGATGGGCAGGAGCACCATCAATCACTATCAGTCAGGAAAAGACTAATGGTGTGGCGACTTTTTACATTTTAACTACCAAACATTTAAGACAGACCCCTAAGGTATGAATATATTATACAATACACTTTATGTTATCGTATCTGTACTTACAATCTACTTACAGTAACTAAGAGATTACTGTGTTATATAACATAACCGCATTGTGTACAGCAGGGGAGACCAAACTTTTTCTTATGAAGGGCCAAAAACCAAACTTGATTGAAGATTGTGGACCGAAGGTAAAAATAGTTTCCATGGCTAATTAATTTTATAATGTTTAAAAATGACTAGAAAACATTGCTTTATATTTACTAATAGAGTATTTTTTTTACATTTATTAAATAAACTTATTACAGTAAAAATAAAACAATATCATTTCTAACAGAAATACACTATTTGTTGCCTTGATTTGCTTACTGAAGTCCTCTATCTGTCGAGTGACAGTATTTATATAAAAAATCTGATTAATTTACAACATTTTATTAAAACATTTATTTTGATTATTTTTGTAGTACTGCAATAAAACACATAAAACTTTACATCAAATTAGAAATGATGATCTCTGTCATAGGTGCATTAGACTCAACCTTCACCATCAGTCTCACTTTCCTCTCAGATGGGATAGTGAGCCAAATCAAAGGTTACAATGGGCCAACTTTGGCTTGCAGGCTGCACTTTTTGCATCTCTGGTTTAAAGTAAGGTTCTGTGGTAGTTTTGGGTACAATATCTAGCTATTACCAAATTTATGTCAGGATTGTGATAAGAATAAAGTATGTACATGTGAACTGTAAAATCAAGAACGACAACAAGAGCTTAATTTAAAAGTGCCAACTTTTCTCATTTAACTGTATGTGTCATGTGACTAATATGTAAAACAACACACCATACACAAAATGTTTTACAACAATGTTTAAACAATGTCATAATCAATAATTCATTCATTTTCCTTCAGTTTAGTTTCTATTTTAGAGGTCACCAAAGCTTATTTGTATTTACATAGTAATAACCTAAATTTCTACAGACAGCATTATTTATTTGATCTATTTTATTACTGGACTTTTATTTTATTACATTCAATTCATTAATATACATTTTTCCCCGAGGCCACAAAGTTTTTTTTATTAACACAGTTATACATTTAATTGACATCATGTGTCCCCTTTCTACAGTACCTTTCTCTCCATTCATCTGTCAAATACTTGAGCAAACATAATGAGTAAATGTTCAGCCCTGTCAGATGACAGAGATAAGCAGCAGTATATTTGGAGAGCGGCTGCAGGCCAATCTGACAGAACAATAGATTATTATCAGCAAATCATCGTTTATCAAGATTTCTATCAAACCTGTAGCCTTCAGCGAGCCCATGTTCAGTCTATCAGTCTCTATCGCGGATTAGCTGCTTACTGTGAAAATAATGATTTTTTTTTCTTTCTCCCCATACTGTGGCTTTAAAAACAGCTTGAGTCGAAGCATCTCCGGTTTCTCAGGAGGAGGATGTTGTCTGCTCTCTTTGCACTATGCAATAATCTATGGCTCCTCTATCAGACAGATCCATCAAGCTGGACTGGAGAGATAACACAATTGGTGCATTATTCCAGGCCATAATAGCCTGCTGCTCTCATTTATGCTTCCATTGATCTGAAAACCTCTGATCAGAGGTGTGGAACGCATTGCAGATTTGGTTTACCTACAGCTTTCCTCTATGGTCATATCACCATCAAGGTCATCTGTGTGGTATACTGTATGGTGAAGTCTCAAATTGCATTAAATATCAAGGGGAGGAAAATAAATGTAATGTGGAAATGAATGAAGCAAAAATGCAAAATAATTGTGGCAAAATTTGGTCAAAACTGAAAAAAAAAAGTGTCAAAGTTTGGCATGTAAAATATATTATATACCTATATACAATAATTCTGTCTGGTTCTTGAATCTGACTGGCCATATGATGTTCTGCAAATAACAGCACTCATCCAGCCTCTTTACCTTTCACCCTTGTGTATTACTCCGCCCACATACAGCGACAAGCAGAGGAATCTCTACAGTTGGACAAATATTGCTGCTGTACAACATCATGTACTTTTGAGTTTTTTTTAGTCGATAATGTAGTTGTTTAGATTGCACCTATGCAGTTTATTTATAAGCATAGTGCCTGTTTTAAAATATTTATAGTTTCGGAGCATCTGATTCAGTGCATCAGCCGCCATCAGCCTGTCTGAGCAGACCAAAGAAAGTGCAGTTGACGCTCCGCCACAAGATAGAGACAGAGACCACATAATAAGTCCTCAAGGGAAAAAAATGCATTTTCTCAGCGCAAGTTCCAAACTACTACAGCTAAACAAATCATTACGGGTCAGGTAATTGACATTCGAAGTTCTCTCTGTTGTATTTTGTAGTGCTGTATTCATACCACAGATACTGTTAGTGTTCGTTTTGCTTCTTAGGGAGGTTTTTTTTAGACTCTCTCTCTCTCTCTTTCTCTCTCTCTCTCTATATATATATATATAATGCAAACATTTTTTTAAATATAAACAATATATCAAAGGGGTGGAATGTAATTTTAAGGGTTGGTTGTGTTAATAAGATGCAAAGCAACGTGTGCTCATATTTCACTTGAAGGAAATCATGTTATTTTTTCATATATCTCACTTTGATTATACACAGCTAACATGAAAATGACTGATATATTTCCTAGTTCCTCTAAAAGGCCCGCCCTCAAGTGATTGCGAACGAAAGTGAGGAGATGTCGCCGACGCCCTCTCTCTATTCTGCCGCCCTAGACCGCCTGGGTCACCTCTATGGACGCGGTGGCCCTGGGTGCGGGGAATAATGGGTTAAAGTTCATTTTCACAACAACGCCACAGTATAGCCAACCTAGTGCTGGGTTTGCTCCTGTCATTTTTCTGATTTTTGATACAATAATCTACGCTGCAACGTGGGATTGGCCAGCAATTTGCCATTGAAGGAGCAGCAGAGACTATGGGACTTTGTCAGACTTTGATAGTGACTTTGTCAGTACCTACAGTTCATATGCACCAGTTTTTTTTTTCCTCTGAATCATAACATGTAAGTGTAATTAAAATTGTTGCCTCATTTTGAGTAGTTTGCAAAATATGTGTTTAATTGTGTGTTGTAACTTGTAATCGCTTAGCGTTGCTTTTAATCACGTATCTATTATAGATCAGTGCTTGTACTGTATCTCTCAGGTTAAATCTGTATGGGGCTATTCACATATCGCGTCCAAAACCACTTTAAAAATGTGACACATGTTTTTTCCTTTACTGATTTAAATGCGTTTCTGAACTGTCTATCCTCTGCTGTTTGCCTTTGCTATGGCCACCATCAACTGTTCCTACACACGCGTTACGCGGTAAATTTTTTCAAATAGTTCAGTTTTTATCCACGTTGTTGATTAACTGCATTCATTTATTGCATTCTCGCATTGGGCTCCCATATACTCTCTGGCTGCTATTTCATAGCCGTGGTGTGCTTTTCTCTCTGTCTCGTGCTGAATGCTGTCGACCAATCGCAACAGACTGGGTCATCAGACCAATCAGCGCAGATTAGCTTCGTGCTAAGGAGAGGTTTGGGAACAAATGAATTGTTGAACGATTCATATGGGAGTCGCTGGGATAATTAGGTAAAAACAAATCCATATTATAAGACAATAAAGTGTGTTTTGACCTTGCACGCATATCGGGCTGTTGTTGGAAACCCTCAAAACCAAAATATGACCTTCTTTAATGCAAAATAGGGGCTCTTTAAATAAACTAAACAAGCAAAAATCCAACCAACCAACTATATATAAGCAGTTGTGTACCCTCAGCATTTTGTGAAATAAATTGACTTTCCATTTAAAGAAGTTTACTGAATTCTCAAACATCATAACAAAAATCTCTGGTCAAAAATGTGCTTTATCTTTCTTTCCAATTTCATAGTTTAACCTAAAACAGTCCGAAGGTGAAGCAAGCCAATATAATCAAAGTAGTAGGGGGGAAATAGTGAATGTACAAAACTAATCATTTCAACATGTGTAAACTGTACATGAATTTAAGCACTATTAATAAATTATATCAGATCAAATTATAGCTCTTACAATTATAAAAACAATAAATTAATGCAATGATTATGCACGACTAAACAAGAATAAATATATGGCATAAACAATAAATGTAAATGCATAAAATCAAATGAAAGCAGTAATAAATGCGCAAACAAAAACTAAAAATAAAAAATAAAACTGCAAATAAAACAAACAAATAAAAGACATATATAATTAATGCATGCATAAAACATAATAAAAAACGTTCAATTTTAAATTAACAAACTACAGGCTACAATTTAGTAATGACTGCAGCATTTCTTCTGTATGTTTCTTCTCTCTTAAATATTCATTTCCATGTCCATTTTCGCACAGGTTATTTTGATCCTTATGGAAATCTCATTTGATGCAGTCTGTCTAAAAGGCTGCAGCTCTAGCATCACAGCAGTGACACTAAATATAGCAGTAAGCGCACCTACAGTATAGTGTAAGACACAAACACAACTCTTACACATCAGACATCCTCCATCCTTAGTCAAACCTGCCCAGGAGATCACTCACCACCTTAAAACAGAGCGGCTGGATTAGCTTAACTGAGGATAACACCTCCATACATGTA